CCTTAAACAAGCCCCTAGACAATGGTATAAAAGGTTTGACACCTTCATTACCAGTATAGGATTCAAAAGAAGTGAGTATGACAATTGTTTTTACTATCATTTAAATTTTGGTATGCCTGTGTATTTACTGCTATATGTAGATGACATGTTGCTAATTAGTAAATCAAAAACCGGAATAAATGACTTGAAGTCTAGGCTGAATTCTAAGTTTGACATGAAGAACTTAGGTAGTGCTAAAAAGATCCTAGGGATAGTCATTGACAGGAAAAGAGAGGACTGTGAACTAAAACTTCAGCAGTCCTCCTACTTACTGAAACTGATATCCAGATTTGGAATGTCAGATTCCAAGCCAGTATCCATGCCTTTAGCTAGCTATTTTACACTGAGTAAGACACAAAGTCCCAAGACTGAATCTGAATTCATTAAGATGGAAAAAAATACCTTATGCCAATGTGATAGGATCAATCATGTACGCCATGATTAGCACCAGACCTATCCTATCTTATTCCATTTCACTTCTTAGTTGTTTTATGTCCAATCTAGGTATAGAACACTAGTTAGCATTGAAACGGTTAATGAAATATATTAATAGTACAATATATGTTGGGTTGGAATACAAGAAAAGAGGAAACTCACTTGATCTTTTGGGATATGTAGACTCTGATTTTGCAGGAGAAATGGACACAAGGAAGTCTACCACCTCATATTACTTCACATTGGGAGGAAACCAGCTTCAACCCATTGTTGCTCTCTCTTCCACTGAAGCAGAATACATTGTTGTAGCAGATGCATTCAAAGAAGGATTATGGCTTAAAGGGACTCTATCTGAGGTGAAGTTGATTGATGAGAAGACAGCAGTGTTTTCGGACAGCCAAAGTGCAATTCACTTGAGTAGAAATCCAGTCTACCACGAAAGGACGAAGCACATGGATGTTAGATATCATTTCGTGAGGGATTTAATGGCTAAAGGAATCATAGACTTGAAGAAGATATCAACTGAGGACAATCCAGCTAACATGGGCACAAAGATAGTAATTGTTACAAAGTTCAAACATTGTTTGAACCTGCTATCTATAAAATAAGCAGCAAATAACAGAGCTGAGAAGGATTCTTGGGAGGTAGCTGCACTAGAGAGAATTAGACTGAGCAGTTTGATTGTTTTTGTTTTTTGGAGCTTCAAGGTGGAGAATGTTAGAGTGAAGCACACAAAAAACGTTGTCGTTGTACCTTTAGTGCAACGGTATCGTTTTAATCATGTTATCACAAGACACAATCCAGACCATTGAAGGATTTTAGCATATGACGGCCAGGACTTATTCTCCTCAAAACAGAATGGAAAAACGCACTACACCTGCTTCTGCGTTTTATTTTGTTTGCTGGGTTTTATTTCAGTTTTTTATTATTCTATAAGAAGCATCTACTCTGTATCGTTTCTTGCTTGGTTGTAATCTTGGTGTGGTTGGTTGTAATCACTTGTAAGGGCTGCGTTTCCCTTTGATTCTTGAGGATCCGTTTATAGAGTTCTCATAGGAAAGATTTCAAGTTGTTGTAAGAGTGAGATACGCTGTTTAAGAGTGGTTTTTGGGTGTAGGATCTGTTTGTATCAGATTGGATTAATCTTTAGTGTAGCGAGCTCCTGAGTTTCTGGAGCTCAACGTGGATGTAGTTTATCCTATATAGAATAAGCGAACAATAATAAAAATCCGTGTCTTTGTTCTTGATTTCTTTACATTTTTTATTGTGTGTGTTGAGTGTGAAATTGGTGGATTATTAGGTTGTTAGAAGTGCAGATTTTTCTCTACATTTATCAATTCAAAAGCATTAAGGTCTTTAATCTTCTTATTCATATAAACCAATTTTATAGAGAGTTGAAAGCACTCAACTCGCGAAATCCACGTACATCTAACACGATTAGACAGATGATACAAAACATATTCTTATTTTTATACATAAAGCTATATATTTCAATATAATGTGAGATTTTATGTGATATTAACCTGTCTTATTTCATAACCACATACCACAATTCAAATCGTGAAAACCATATATAAATCGATATTATTTATAATTTAAAGGAGTTCAATTCAAATTTGTTTGATATCAATCAAAAAATAAATTTCTTTCTAAGTAACAAAAGTTAGAGAAGACCGAGGATTGTGATTACACAGAAAGTTTATGATATACCATAAGATCATACAATATACATTTTTTTTAGAGCATAAAAGAAAATAAAATCTTCAATATATATATAGCCATTTATTTTATATTTCAAACAATAATGAGACTTAACAATGGTTAAGGTAGAACCAAAACATCAAAATCTAGCCTTACAAATTAAAATATTGGAGAAAACCATAAGCAATGTGTTTCCAAATAAGTGATCTCATAGTGAACAGAAATTGGAAATTGGAAAATATTAAGTGCATAGGTTACATTTATTAATTTATGTACCTCTTGAGTGATCTCGTATCAAGATGTCAGGAAGGGATTACTTTCTGACATCTTCAGTAAATTATACCTCTTTTGTGAGGTATATGATAGGCAGCTATGATTTCAATCTAAATGTACTCTTAATATTTTTTTTTTTTTTTTTTTTGTTTTCTTTGTCTAAGTAGGATTCCATATTTATTCAATCAAATCAACGAGGAACAACTAATTCATTTATTAAGAAAATGTCAAAATTCTAAAACTCTTTTTTAATCATAATATTGGCATGTGGCTTTTCACACCCTCCCAATCATATAATGAATTTTAAGTAGAAATCAATGAATGCCAACGAAATTAATGAAAGAAGAAGATAGGTTACAAACAGTAAGATTAATTTTAGTATAGATTTTATATTATTCACTGTCTATTTCAATTATTAAATGCTTTAAGTGGTCATTGCAATGATTAAGATGGATGGCTAATCTTACCAAACTATTAGTATATAAAATTCCCTATGATAAGTCATCTTAAAACACAACCTAATTAATCCCAAGGGGTTAGCCTGACACTCAATAAGATTTGTTTCTTTCCTTAAGTTTAAACCTTGTGGTCACCCACCACAATAACATTATAATTTATCTGGTCGTTTAGGCTCATAGGGTGTTTAATAGACCTCGGGATTAGTTGAGGTGCACACAAGTTAGCCAGAACACCCTGATTACTTGAAAAAAAAAAAAAACACACAATCAAATCAGTCCAATAATTATTATTTAAGGTATACTAATATTATCACAGTAACAACAACCTAATAATTCTGATAAACCAAAAAAGAAAATAAAAGTTATGACTTACTAGTAATTAAGCTCATGGGCAGGCCAACCTAATTGGTTGGTGAAATGGGATATCAATTCCTCATAATAAGAGCAAGCTAATAGAGTTTGGTATTATTGTGATGGGCGATTATTTCAATACCAATACCAATACTTTTCAAAATCACATCACATGTTGATGTTGCTTTACAAAAAGGGTGAAGAAAAAGGGGGACAAAAGCCTAATTCCAAAAGGTAGAAGAAGCTCCACTAAAGCCCCAAACTAATTTTTAAATTAGGGTTTTTGGTTTTGAGCTAGATGGGTAAAGTCCAAGTTAGGGTTTAACATCAAATAATAAGAAATAATCTCCCCCACCAAACAAAAACAATTATTTTCAAAAATAAAAATAAAAAAACCCAGAAGATCTATTTCCTTCCACACAAAATATGGGTTTGAGAAGAATTTATAGAAATTTTATTAAGTGGGATTTTTTTGGACAAAAAAAAAACCCCTTTGTCTTTTTGCCGCTTCATATAAAATTGGAAAGAAAAAAATATTTATATTATATAAATCCCTTTAGGGGCTTGCATTATGATTANTGTTTCTAGTCATATTGATGGCAAAAAATGACCACCTTGAAACGTTTTCCCTTTTGAATTGCTACCGTAGCTCATTCACTTGAATCTTCTTGCCTCGACAACCTTATCTATTCCTGAGCTTGCAAAGCATGAACAAGCTCAGCCAAAGTTATTTGCGACAAGCCCTTGGAGTCTTCAAGAGAGGAGATTTTGGCTTCAAACCTCTCTGGTAAGTTGACAAGAACTTTCTCAACTATTCTCTTGTCTATCAACTCTCCATCAAGCAACTTAATCTTGTTTACAACATTCATGAGTCTGTCTACATACTCTTTGACAGACTCAACTTCTTGCATTTTATGCATTTTAAATTCTCTCCTCAGGTTCAAGACTTGCATAGTTCTGGTCTTATCATTTCCTCCAAACTCCTCCTTAAGCTTGTCCCAAGCTTCTTTGGGAATTTCACAAGCCATGATCCTAGTAAGCACTTGATATGTAACTATTGAATGAATCAGGGCTCTTGGAGCTTTTGCCACCTCCTCTTCATGGATCCTAATTTGATTCAGCGTAGGATTCGCCCACAACTGAGGTGGTTGCTTCTCCTCCTCCACGTATTGCCACAAACCATGATCTCTCAAGTATGTCTTTATTTTTCATAGCTCATACATGAAACTAATCTCCATTGAAGACTAGTGGAGTGATTGAAGCTACAGTTGATGCCATGAAGGTGAGTTTAAATGGTGTTGAGGTTAGCTAAGATTTTGATTTCAGATGCTGGACAACAAGGCTTTAATACCAATTTGTTGGTTTAGAGCTGAAGAATACTAAGGAAAATGAAAGGGAGCACAAACGAATGAGAGAGAGGGTAGTGGGGACTTCCATTTTATTAAACTATCTGAATTTATACAAACACTTTTGATGTACAGTTCCACCAATCTGCAGTACCTTTACAAGCAAAATAGTTATCAACCATACATTGCTAACAACTACAATTACATCACATAACTAAGGACCTAATCACCAGCTGATTTGTAGCTGAAATTACCAAAACATTACTTTAAATTATCAAGAAAAAATCAGCCCAACAGAACTGCACTTGAACTTGACCTTTTGCCACCAAACTTGCAGCTTCAACCAACAACCAACTTCATGAGTTTCCAGCAAAATATCATCTCATTCAACAGTTTTTGTGAAAGGGAGTCCAAAAATGGATTTGTGGTTTGTTGCAGCAGCAGCTGCTGCGGGATATTTAGCCAAGTATTGGCAGAATGCTTCCAGGGATCGGGATAGGGATAGGGATAGCTTGTCAAAGTTGTCTTCAAAAGGTTCCAACCTTGAAAAACCTGAGTCTCCTAGCTGCCCCTTTCGCAAATTGGCACGGAGGAAAAATCTAGACAAAGATGTTTTTATGGATAGGAAAAAGGTTTTGGCATCAGATGGTGTTTCAGATGCCGAAGTGGATTCTGCTAGTAAGATTGATAGTGAAAGCATGGAATCTTAGGAAATTATGAAATTGCAATTTACTTTCTATATCCACTTTACCACCCAGATTGTTGCATGATGAAAACCTAGAAGGAAATGAGTGTGGGAATAGATTGAATGGTGATATTGTTGATGATTCTGATATCCCTTCTACATCGGATATGGACTCCTTTCATGGTTCTGCAAGGCACATAGGCTCTCTTAGAAATAAATACTCACTCCTTTCATGATTCTGCAAGGCACGTAAGCTCTCTTAGAAATAAACACTCACATCAGCATTTTGTCAAACCTCTAAATTCCCTTGAAAGTTGCCTTATGGCTCAGCTATACCCTAAACATATGAAAATGGAAGAGTATGTTCCTGGTCCCCTTTCATCACCATCCTTGGCAACTGTTAGGCCATTGTTTGTAACTGATGGAAGCCGAATAATTAGCAGAGCAAGCAGTGAATTTGGTGCTGCAAGGTTTAGGATTGAAAATAGTAAGCTGCAAAAGGAAGCCTATTCAGGAAATAATGAAAATGTAGTGGGAGCTCCTCCGCTACCCCAAATCGGGTCGTTGGATGTTCCTACGAAGATGAAGTTTAAATCGGTAAAGAGCCGTGTTGGAAAATTGAGCAGCTCCGGTAAGTATAGTGATGGATCACTATTTCGCTCTCAAGGTACTTATGTTTTCCTCTTCTTTTTTAANGTTGAACGTTCCTAAGAAGATGAAGTTTAAGTCGGTAGAAGGCCGTGTTGGAAAATCGAGCAGTTCCAGTAAGTATACTGATGGATCACTATTTCGCTCTCAAGGTAATTATGTTTTCCTCTTCTTTTTGGATTTACCTTTTCATTTAATCACCAACATCCTATATGAAAGGAATTTATTCTTCTTTTATCATTTATTGAAAGTTTATTCCCTATAATTGACTTCCCGAGTCCTCGTTGGTTCAAAGTTTTAAACTCCATCTTTATTCTCTTCATTTTTGGTTTCTCTACTGTAAATGTAACATCTTGTATGCTGAGAAAAATCTTGAGATACCTTTTACTACAAAGTGAAGTAGAAAACATGTTTGTTATCTTCAAAATATAGTTGTCTATGCAGTTTTGCTCTATTCAGTTGTCATGTCCAAGAAACTGTAGGGTTAAGATTACCTTAGGATGGTAGCAATTGGAGTATTTATAGGTCATGGCCTTCACCTTGGAGATGGCAGTTTGACACTTTCTAGAACAATAGCCTTTCCAATTTCTGCCTTAAAAAAATTGTTTCGAGAGACTGATCATAATTCATAAATATGGAAAACTCTTTGTTTACCTATAAAAAGAAAAAAGAGAGAAGAAAAAAAAAAAAAAAGGAAGTACATCCTGCTAGGATGTACCTCACAAATTTGGTGTACTTTTAGCCTACTGATTTGTACTAAATTTTCATTGAAAGTAATCTCTTTCGCATGCTTCATCTGCATTTTCGACCTTGCATTGCATGCTGATTAGAGAAAAATGTATTTGCATTCTTATCATGGACATTTAACCAGTAATGTATACATATTTGAAAAATCGTTCAGTAGCAACTACGCAATTGGATGTTTTGGAGACTTCTGCTTCTGCACAGTTTATATCATGTATCTACTACGTCATTCATCTATTCCATGAATGTTTATTCTAATTCTGACAAAATTAATGTGCTCGCAATGTTACACTCTTTAGGTTCACATGATGGAACACTTCTCTTTTGTCTTGGAATTTCCATTGGTGTAATATCCTCTTTTTTAACAAGTAGAAGAGAAGTAGAAAAATTGAAGGAGTTGTTGAGGCAGACAGAGAACTTGGTCCAAGATCTACAAGAGGAACTTGAGATGAAAGATTCATTGACTGTGAAGGAGCTAGCTAATGAGAATTATGAATCACCAGGTACATGTAACAATTCTTTTCATGAGAGCATGCCAAATACTTCTTGCCCAGAACAACATTTGGATATAAAGCATGACGATAAAGAATTGTGTGATAAGAAAGCCGGTGAGGGGACAGAATCTATGAGTAATATTGAAGCGGAGCTTGAAGCTGAGCTCAAGAGGATGGAACTAAATATGAAATCATCTAGCTTGGAGAGAAGATTGAGCGATTGTGTTGAGGTAAGTTTCTCTGTTTTTCTTAGCGTTCATGAGAGATTAATAGATTAGTATCATGTCGACTTGTGTAATGAACTATTTGAGATTTTTCTGGCCTGATGTCAGTATAGTGATTCCGGAGTCCATCGTTTCTAGGCTTAGTGTATGACATTTTAGCCCATACTTAATCAACCATAGGTTGGGGCTCTTCTCTACAATACAGATCATACAAATTATTTAATTTGAATCAAACAGCCGATAACTGAAATCTGTGCTGGGTTGATTCTCTTCTCAGCTACAGAAGTAGACATAAGTTTTGAAGATGTTTGGATCTGAGTAAGTTTGTATGTTGTCTTCTATTTTTGGTCAATTTTGGGAGTATTGAAAATGCCTGCAGATTCAGATGTCATATTGTTTCTTCCTAGAATGCCATTGCTTTAATTGTCTTTACGGTTATATTAAACACCTTCTTCTATATCTTAACTTTCAAATGTCATAAAACAGTAGCAATACATCTCAACAAGAAGGTTGATTTATATGTTGACCATATGTACTGGCTAAACCTGAACCAAAAGAAAATGAGAAATGAATTGAAAAAAAAAAAAAAACCTCTAATTGTCAAACATGAGATTTTTTCTTGGATGAGGCAAATTTCATTGAGCTGTTTATTTTGCAAGGGCTGATAAAGCTGATAATATGTACAGCTTGACCCAGACTTTGAAGCAGATTTTGCTCAAGGTGAATTGAGAGCTGACATGATCAATAAGCAATTTGCTGATCAACCTGAGTCTGATAAAGACGCAAGTGGAACCTCCACAAATCACTCTGCCAATTATGGAGTCTCACCCCGGGAGCTGAGCTTGTGTCTGCATGAAGTAATTCAATCAAGATTGGAAGACCGTGTGAAGGAGCTTGAGGCAGCCCTTGAGAACAGCCACAGGAAGCTTGAACGCTTGGAATCGGAGGAAAAGAATTGTTGGAGGAAGTTCTCTAGCTCTGAACTTAGATATTCTTCCGATGAAGAAAGTCCTATTTTTAATGAAGAACACAATTCCATGGCTGAACCTCTAGTTATGAATTTATCAGGGGAAGCTCTCAATGCATACAATGAGGCTTATGAAGAACTAATGAAGATAAATGAGTCAGAAGAAGAGGATTCACCATCAGGGTTTTACGAAATGAACCGTCAAAATGGTGGGGTAAATGGTTCCTTGCCACATCATACACACAATATAGAGAAAATATCAAAAGAATTCAATTATAGTCAGGTAAAAGCATCAGAAGAGCAGGGCTTGAGCGTTGAAGAATCACTTGATGTTGGTCTAAGTGGTAGTGATGACAGTGATTTTGATGATGAGATGGAGAAGCAACTGATAAAACAGATAGTTGAGAAAACCAGGAAAGGTTCTCCTGCACTGCTGAACGCTCAAAAATGGTTATTTTTTATGGATAAAGATGAGCATTGAATTGAATTGAGACAAGAAATTTTTGTAGTGTATAGACAATCATAATCCAACCAATCAATTGTTGATTCTGACTTGTACTACCAAACCTTAATACAATACCAGTGTTCTTACTGATAACATTTGTCCATCAAACTAGCGGGGATGATTGTTTCCTTTCTAGTTTCGGCGTTTCGGTTTTCAGGTACTGGTACTTGAATTATTTTCTTATTGAACATAATACCAATTGGACCCAGAAAAAAATTTCTTTTACTGAATTTGTCTGTACCCTTTAATCACAAGCAATTCTTTAGGTTTTTTTTTTTTTTTTTTAACCGTTTTTGCTACTGAAGTTTATCTTTAAGAGCCTACAAAAACAAGGATTTAAACTTATCACCATTCAAAATGATCTGCAAATAGTTGGTTATAATTTGGCATATAAACTTGTGTTCTAGAACAGTTATACTGGATAACTGGATCCCTTCAAAATACAAGCAAAGAACAGGCAGAAAAATACAAGCAAAGAACAGGCAGAAACAAAGAAGTGAATCTTCAACTACAATTATTTTCTAAAATACTCTTGTTCATGTTGTTTCTCAAAAAGAACACATAAAACCACTGTTCGCAAAATAAAAGCCAGCACAAATGCAAATGGTTCATACACAAGGGCTAAAAACTAGAAAAAAAACAGTTCATTAATACAGGTGGAAATACATCCAACTGTTTTCTTTAAAGCATACGATTTCATGCCCTTTTGGCAAAGTCATCAGTGTCGTCCTCATCAACGTCCCTGAAATTTCCCTCCAAAGGTCCATCCTGCTGAAAACCTCCAGCACCACTTTCATCACTAGCAAATTGATTACTTCCGAACCCAGCCCCAGTATTTCNAAACGCAAATCAGAGAAAATCAAAACGCAAACAAAAAACCAATTGAAGAGCAAAATTTCTTCAGTTTCGATTGAACTGAGTTCTCGCTTAGGTATTACTTGGGGTGAAGAGGCGATAACACTCTGATTTGTTGTTGCTTTGATTCCGGGATTGGAAGAAGAAAGATTTGAGTTTTTGGTTAAAAAGTCCTCCACTTTCCACTGTAAAGATATGTGATTCGTTTCATCCAAACTTAATAAATGCATTCCTTATTGTTTATTGTATGGTTATTGAGATTTTTGTTGCATTCTAAGGTTAGTTGTGGTTGATATTCGTGGATTTTATTTGAAAACTTTGTTTGATCATATGATAAAATATGGGAAAAAAAATCTACAGAAACTGGGGATAGTGAATCCAATCTATGGCCGCTACAGTGTTATTTGCTAGCGTTTCGGAGATGCCAGTCTTGTTAGCTTGGTCCGACTAGACTCTAGCGATGTTGGGAATTTGAATATTTGTTAATTATCAAATTGATTAATAATTTAATTTATTAAATAAATAATAAATAACAAAAAAAATTGGATTAAATTAAGTAATTAAAAATAATATTGACATAATTATTCACATTAAAATTTCAATCAATTAATATACCTAGAATTAAGAAAATATATATATACTTATTTAATACATACACTATTATTAACATTTTTTTTTTAAGGTATCTGAGATATCTAGGTCTACATTGGAACCTTCTAATCAGTAATCCTCAAGGGCACGGAACACCCTACAAGTCCAATGGACTAAGGTAATTCTACAAATATGGTAGATACCTCTCTTGCGACTCGAACATAAGAAGTCCTGAGTATACCTAACCTCAATGACTAAAGAGTTTGTCATCTGACCACAAGGGGAGAGGTAATTAACATGTTATGTATGACGAATAAACCCTATTTAATTAATTTGATAAAATTTGTTCTATAAAATAATTTACTTGAGAAAATGTTAACAAATTACTTAGATTATTGTCACAAGCATTTGTTAAAGAAACTAGATAAGTTTAATCATAAATAATTATGATTTTCTCACACTTGTTCATAATTCAATTTTGATTTTATTATTAATTTAATGTATTTTTTTTTTTTCATTGAGTAAAGCAAAAATGTCTCTTACTTTGAAAAATTAAGAAGTACGTGTTTCAAGAAATTGTTAGATGTGAATATGAAGTTTCAAGGGACACTATTATTGAGAGAGTACACGTTCCTCATAGTTTGCCAATGGAGATTTAGTTTGAGGTTGATGGTAAGAGACTTAGATTTGGACATTACATTTTTGAACTATTCCAGCAGAAAAATCAAATGACTATACAAAGGAGCACGAGGTTGTGGAGAAAACCAAGTCAAGGAAAGAGATTATAAGGTGGAAAAGGGTAGGGACACCGGATACATAGCCTAAGAGATTATAAGGTGAACTTCAACTGCATACTTCAAAATAATTCCTTCCCTCCATCCATCCGAATATCCGATAAATTCTCAAGTTAGTGTTGGGAACAGTTTAATTATACCCACAACATAAGAATATAAAATCGGCTAAGCAAAGTACTCACCTTCAGCAACATAACCATATTTACTGAATGCTTCTCTTAGACTTTGGTGATCAGCGCTATATGAAAGTCCTGCAACGAAAAACCACCAAAAGAAGAAAAGAACCACCGTATAACGGCTCAAAATAGCTGGACACACATCCAATGAAAAGTTTTGAAGATGAAATGCATCGTATTGCTTGGTAAATGGAGGGTTTTGATGCAGATATTTCACTGGCAATCTGCCTGCCAGCGGTCTGCCTAAGTATACTCCCAACCTTGCCGAAGAACGCCATTATAATAACCTAAAAAAACATAGAAACATGAAACTTCAATCAAACAACTGTGTAGAACAAACAAAAAAACAAAACAAATCTAAGAATGTCGATGATCAGTTGCATGCTTATCACCATATCAGTAAAAACCATAAAAAAATCAGCTTTCATAAAATCCAAAACATTCAATCATCCTGAGCCAAATATACTTTCATTACAATTCGTAAAGCAAGAAGTCCATAAACATAAAGCTTCACATGTTTAATCCCATATTCCCAATACAACTAACGATATTCACAAGCAAAGCAAGTTTTAATGGCGTTGAAAGGTGAGGAAGGAGAAGTATTACTCACTTGAAGCTTGGCTGCTTGCTTGACGATGAAGGAACAACTCTTTTGGGTGCGATGCGAACAACCCTAAAATGGATAATAATAAAGCCTCTTTAGTTATTCTAATTCTACTAAGCAATATATCCCTATTCTTTGAAAAATAACCAAAAAAGTCCCCTATAAATTATTAAGTAAATACAGTAGTAAAGTAAAATTATAAACTCCTTAATTTTGTAATTATAAGTTGATTTGTTCATAAGTTGAAATTAATAACATTAAAAAAATAAGATACAATTCTAAATTATATATACAAGTGACAGTACTTTTGTATTTATGCATCATTCACTATCATTTTATGTGCATTTATTAAAACATATAAAATTGTGTTTGTCATTACTTAATATTGTTAAATATGTTTATCATATAATATTGTAGATTTTTATTTAGAAAAAGTGAATTTTATAATTGCTCAGGTATGGAGAACACAATAAATGGTTAGAACTTATAATTTTGATGCTTCCTATAAGAGATATATATAGAAACTAATCTCCAAATAGGCAAGCAAACAACCTTTTTTTACTTCAAAAGTGTGCCAAAAGCATCATAGAGTACAATAATGTCCTTTTTTCTATTTGGTTTGAGTCTGCAAACTCCGTTAGGGCGCTTGTGCCCATCTCTCTCCTTGGTTTGGAACTTGCGTGCTTCCTTTTGGGCGTTTGTTCCTATCCTTTTGTAAAAAATGATGGGCATATCTATTCTGGTCTTCTTTAAACCTCTTTTGGAGATATGCCCCCTAGTTTGTATATAGTTTCTCTTTCATTTCTAGATAGACCTCTTTCGTTACGCTTCTATTAAATTATAACCTCCTCGTAACAAATTAGTTTAATCCCTGATAACTATAGAGAGGTAATAAAGATGATGTCATCGAGAAGAAGGAAAGTAAGTGAAGAGTGATTAAAAATTTTATTTCCTTCAAACTCTCTTTGCTAGGATTTTGACAATTCAGGTTCATTTAATATTATGTTACTGCACGATTTAAATCACATTAAAAAATTAAAGAATAAAGCTGAAAAATTGAAAAGATATGTCCTTAAATTAAACAAGCACATATGGTCCGTTTGCCAGACTGGATTACACTGAATTGCATTGACCAAATCGGTGCTACAGTAACATTACAGTGTTTTTTAAATTTTAATGCCATGTGTGGAGCAGTTTTGAATTGCTTGAAGTTTGGATTAACTTTTTCTAGTCCAGTTTTGCAATTTTATATGTATTTTGATACATTAATATAGTTAACTAATTTATTTTAATTAATATTATATACTATAAATATATAATAATGATTTTTATTAGTAATTTAATCAAAAAATCATTATAAATAAAATTTATAATTGAATTAAAATTAATAGCTATTATTTAATTAATTTTTTCAAGTTAAATAAAAAAATTGATTTTTTTAATAATAATTTTTTTCCGATACAATACCAAACACAGTATAATTTTATAATTAATACTATCTTATTCAATTGGATTCATATTATCAATTTCAAATTCAATTAAATACAATCAAATAGGGCGTGCCCAAAGCACCCATACACTATAGATCGTACTAATAATAAATTAGTAATAACAGTAATACTACACTTATAAAGAAATTTTATAAAAATTTTCATACAAAGTGATGTAGTAAAAAATGAATAGAAGAGTGAATCTAATGAGTTTGATTTTTTGTTTTACTCTTTTATTTATTCTTTATCACCTCACTTTGTATAAAAATCTTTGTAAAATTTATTTTATTTGTAAGTATAATATTATTGATTGTAATAGATACCCACATTATTTTAAGCCGCGGTTGTAGCTCAAGACAGACATGACAGTTTGAATCGTCGCGAGCACCAAGAGGAAGGAGGCGGCGAAGAGTTTGATGGCTGACCATGGAGTTTTGAAATAGTTGCGCATCAAACTTGCCCAGTAGCTATTGTAATAGGCCTCCACATTCTGAATCTGATTAGAGAGATAACTTTGTCTGATATACACCGTATTTTCTCCCAGATTGTCGAAGAAATCTGCAACGTATTTGTCATTGTGTGAAAACTTTGAGATGATTCCATCCGAAGAAAGGGATGAGACGTCTCTTGGTTGGGAGATGAGACAAGATAAGAAAGAGACATAGTCTGAGATGTAGTTGATGCGGTAATCTCGAGACTGTTCCAAGGCCATACAATTTGTCAGCACAGTGCTCATCATGTCGTTCAGTGTGATGGATGGAATTAGGAGAGCCCGGTTCTTGAATTTTATATCCAGAAAGCTTTCAGCTTTTCTTTGCTTGAACTTGATTCCCGATAGCTTTAGTTCCGTTACGCATTGCATGGAATGTGTAGATGCATATGTTTTATCACATTCATCGCCATTGTTGCCTGAGACCTGTTGAACTAGACTAAAGTAAAATATCTCCAGCAAATGACTGCATCTCTGAAATTCAGGTAAGAAGGTCAGTGTCGGTCCTGTCCAGGAAAGATTCAAGAATTCTACGGCAAGCTTCATAAATCTTTCTTTAGATGGACCTGATTTGTCAAACAACGACTGGAGAACCAACAAAGGAAGTTGGTTCTCAATTTTAAGAACAACCCTGGCGAGAACAGAAATCAAATTTGGCTGAGCAAGAATGGGATCATCTATGACCTCGTAAATTTCGCCTCGGTTGTGGTAGCACAGGAGCTTAATGAGAAAGCAGCCATCAAGCAACATCATCTGAATGAAGTCTTCGTTCGACATGGGCAAAACGAGGCTTTTTTCGGGGTAAAAATCTCTAGTTTGAGCTTCCAAATTCTCCATTTTTAGAAGAAGATGCCGCAGGTACTCGTCGACCGGCGGTTTCCGGCGAAGATATTTATCAAGAAAGAACCATTTGAACTCTTCGAACTGATGCAGTTTTGTTCGGTGGCGATGTAAAGGACCGATTGATACAATCTCAGGTTCCACACTCTTGACACTGATACCCACGACACTCCCAGAAAGCCACGTGACGGGGACGGATTGGCTTAAATTTCTTCTTTCTTCGTTACTTCTACGCAGACGACTCTGCATACGATGGAGTAAATTTGGCGAAACTGAATTTCGGAATTCATCATCCTTTTCTTGCGGTTCGGTTGGTGTTTCTGAATAGAACTCAAGTTTCTCTTTGCCCCTGTCCCCACGGCTTGAACTTGCTTCATTCATGGGCGATCGCCTCCTGCTTCCTGTCTGTTCACCGTCGACCACAATAGATGAGAGTTCCATTAACGCCTTCGTCTTTGTGCTTGCTTACACAGAACAGCAAGATGCAAGAGGTGACGAGCCTGTCTCAGCACTTAGACAAGATGGTAACAACAACTTGGCAGGAGTCGAAGAGGAGGATGACCCCGTCGAGTATGTCCTCTAGCTCTAAGGAAGGCCTTGTTCCCTTTACTTAAAAAGGTAAAGAGATCGATTTGAAACACGTAGGTGTACAAGGTGAAGCGCGGCGGCGACCGCGTACGAGGACACGTAGTCCCAAGAAGCTTTATATTATAACTTAGCAAATTAGTGGGATATTTATTTTCATCCTTCTTTGAGATTTAAGGTCTGAAATGATTATAATTTTAATAAACTCTTTTATTTCTCCTAAACAAAAGCATAAATCTCTCAAAAAATAAAAACTTATATAAAACTTAAACCATCTCAGCCTAATTTTTTTTCATTGATTTACACCATGTTCAATTCTATCTCTCCATTTAGATCAAACTAAGTTACATTTGACTATGTTTTGTTGTTAGATATGATTTTAAATTATGTTCTTGTAATTTTTAAAAATTACTGTTTAGACAAGTACAATGAATGTGTTTTTAAATTTACATTTTCTAATATTAATTAGTATGCTAAACACATTTAGATTCCCTATATATCAATACTTTTTCAATATTGTTAAAAAAAAATACAAAACAACTTCATAAATAAAAACACCTAATAAGTGTTATCTACCAATCCATTAAGGACAAAAATGAAATATATCAAACTTTGAAGTATGCTGTTTCTTAGAAATTTCAAAGCAGGTTGTTTGTCTCCTTCCTAGCAAAAGTAGGGTTGAATGGAAATAAACTTGCTTTAGATAGAAGAGTAGTAGGTAGGGAAGAAGAAGGATAGCGAAAACTGCGACCTAAAAGTGATCAAGAGGGATGATGGAGACAAAAGATTAGTGGTTATGATTATTTAATATATTGAATCACATCAGACAAAAGAAATATTGCGAAGGAAATATGTGGGTATGTTAATATGTTTGGTCGGAATGGATAAATTTGTGACTATGTTATTTAAATTATTTAATTGTTCTTTAATTAAATATTATTATTATATTATTTTTTAATATTAATTATTATAATCTTTCTGTATTTAAAAACTTAGCAAAAATAACCCCATAATAAAAGTTTGAAAAATCAACAAAACATCCCTATCAATCCAATCACTGTCGATCGGCGGCAACCACACGGAAGGTAGAAAATGGCCTCCATGCACCGTATGGCCATTTTCGGCCAGATATCTAACTAGAAATGACCATATCGACGCACAATAGCCATTTTCAGCCTTTCGTGTCCCGTTTCGACGACCGCGGCAGCTAGCTGCAATGGTGGTTGCCAGAGGCAAGTGGGTGGGGGTGGTAGCTTGGGTGGACTGCAATTTGTTTTGAATTCAAAGGTAATTTTTTATAAAAAGTTAATTAATTGGGGTGAAATAGTAAAAGTCATATTCATGTAAATAAATTTAAAAGTAAGGACATTATTGTCCTAAAATTTTATTAATAATGGATAAAATTGTAACAAAAAAAGATAATCTTGATAATCTTAGAATACCTAAGAAAATAAAGGTAATAAGATTATCTCAAATATTACCAATAATAAGCACTATTGGTATTTGAAAATTATCGATATCTTATATTACTTGACAACTAAATATGATAATTAAATAATATAAGATAACTTAACTCGATAATCTCACATAACCCGACCAACGCCCCTTTAAGTGTTATCTACCAATCCATTAAGGACAAAAATGAAATATATCAAACTTTGAAGTATGCAGTTTTTTTGGAAATTTCACAGCAGGTTGTTTGTCTCCTTCCTGGCAAAAGTAGGGTTGAATGGAAGAAAACTTGTTTCGATAGAAGAGTGGTAGGTAGGGAAGAAGAAGGATAGTGGAAACTGCGAAGTAACAGTGATGAAGAGGAATGATGGAGACAAAAGATTAGTAATTATGATTATTTAATATATTGAATCACATCAGACAAAAGAAATATTACGAACGAAGTTAGAACAAGTGTAGTAGGTTTCATCTCAGGGGAAATGAACATTGACCAGTCGTCGTGATATTTGGTAGAGTTCATAATGTTACGAAAGAATCTTGTATAAATCTCTTCCTCGAATCCCAATTCTGTACAGGCATTGCTCGGATGTTTCATAAACATATTTTTTGTGAATCTAAGGGGCCTCTTTTCATAACGCGGCTCCGCGTATGCTTGTAATCGTTATCAATGGAGCTTTCCTCGGTCTTTCATACTCGCTTTATCTTATTTTATCGCAAGTCCATCTAAATTTTCAAGTAGGTCTGAGTTACCGACATGTTCCCACCCAAAACATGGCCCATAGACAAAGTTATACTCGCCCATTTTACAAATGACTATCCGGAGCAGAAATTATGTTAACATTTTTTCTTTTTGTTAAAAACATATATTTTCATTGTGAAGACAAAAATACTATTGATTATTTGAGTGAAATTTATTATTATTATATGTGAGTGAATACATAGTACCCCTATTTAATAATAATAAATACCCCCAACTTTACAAATAATTGAATCACTAATCAGTCCCAATTTTTTTTAACATGAGTAACCGTCAGATTATGAAATTTATGAGCTGATATTTGTATTCCATTTACTTGTCAATTAAACGCAATAACATCAAGATTGCAAAATCACAATGCATTTTCGTCACCCTAAGCCTAAAAAAAATTGGAAATGTTTTGATCAGACCTCTTCAACCAGCTAATTACATGCAATAATGACAAGAAAAGGCTAGATGTTTCTAAAAGAGAGAACAGAAAGTTTGGGTAAATAACTTCTGTTGTAAACATAACAATCTGTTTCAATATTATCAAAACAAATCCTTTTTTTATTTTGTACAGAGCATGTTGTACCAACAAGACTACAGCTAGGTTTGTAGCTTCTTCATAAATGTATATTCTTCAAGTCAAAACAATGTTCACAACCTCACAACACAGTGGATTGCTCCATAATGATTCAATGCCTTCTTCAAGTTATAGGGCATGCTATCACAAGCTTCAATTCAAGAGGTATTTAAATCACAGTCTAGTGTTCATGTCAATTCATTATTTACTTCCTTAACATTATTCTTAATCCTATTAATAGGTAAGCAAATCAGTAATGCCAAGTGTTTTTTTTTTTTTTTTTTTTTTTTTTTTTCTGTTCAGCTTGATTGGTTACTTTCCATAGGAGTTGATGATAGGTTTGACGGGCAGACACTTGGTTAGAGTTTCCTCTCCTTCCCATTTTGGTTTGTCTGAACAACGTCTTGCAAAGTCTCTGACCCTCATAGCTCACTGCAGCTGGAAAGCAGTCAGCTAGCCTAAAATGCCTTCTTCATCTTTCCTTCCTCTTCCTCTTCCTCTTCTTTTTAATCTTCAGACTTTTAATTTGTAACTTTCCATCGATATTCACGTGATGGGTCTAACCCGTCATCAATTATTGACAGTAAAGTTAACATCGATTGATTGATGTTCACCGTAGTTCTGATTTCTTCAACCATCTCTCATCTTCAGTTTTCTTCTCTCTCCTCTCTCAATTTTTAGAAACCTCTCATATACCCACCAAAAATACTTTGCGGTGTATCTGTTTTAGTATTTTAAATATATTTTAGGTAGTATTTTAAAAAAAGTAATACTCTCAACCAATCGCTTTTGAATATATTATAAGCTACAACATTTTGTTATAAAAAAATTAGAAAATGTAGCTGGTAATATTACTGAAATTATGACAGTAGAATTTTAAACATGTTTCCGTTAGTCTATATTTGATGATTATTTGATTTAGATGGAATTGTTTTAATTGTTTATTCGACGTAAACTTATATATATATATCATTTCAAGGATTAAATTTATAAAGTTTACGTCCACATAAATGCCATTGGTGATTGCACTTCTTCTTTACAGATTCTGTTTCCAGCAGTAGTAAGAAAAGTCGAAATGGTACGACTGTGGGAATTGTTTTAGGTGGTTTTGTATGTTTTATATTTCTTTTGGCTGCTGTTTATATCATTCGAGTGAGGAGAGGACATTCCAAGGAAAATATAGGTAAATGAAAAAATTGTCTTTGTATTTATGAAGGATAAAGGCTCAAGATTAATGTTACATGGAAACCCTTTTTTTTTTTTTTTTTTTTTTTAAATCTATATTTCATGCTCAGATACATTATTTGTATTTATTTTCAGCTACTGATGAAAGTGACAATTTTGTATCATGATATTGCAGAGCTCATGGACTAGACGTGCTAAACCATATACTTTCAGTTTCCCGTGAATTAAGGGCCACCACAGAAGAATTTAACCCTACCAATAAGCTTGGAGAGGAGGAGTTTTGACCGTTTTATAAGGTAATTCATTATCCTAATTCAGATACACTATGGAAATTGTTTTCTCAAAGCTTTTGGTGGGAAAACGTAGTTACGCCAAACCTTGGGTGTGGAAATTATCATTCCCCGTCAAATGGTAGAACGTGGCTCGGCGTGAGTATACAAGATTGGAACCACTGAGAGCCACTGACACTGACGGCCATGGCCATCGGATGCCGCATTCAGTGCTTCATGGATGACGGCACCTAGAGGTGGAACAAATAGGCCGGTTAGGCGGGTCACCCTAACCCAGCCCGTAATGAAGGTTTAAACCGGCCCGCTATTTTTACCAACCCGCCAGCAACCCCCAGGGCGGGCCGGTTGCAAAATGGCAACCCGGCGGCCGGGTTGCTATTTTGTCCTCTCTGCAGAGGCCCCACCACCCATGCAGGTTGCATGCGAGTTGGCCCAGCCAGGGTTGGCCGAAAAATAATTAAAAAAATTGTAAAATTAATTTTTTTTTAAATTACCTTTTACCCTTGAATATAGCCGTTTTATAGCGTTGGAGGGCCTTTTTCGTCATTTCTTTCCCATTTTTTTTTTTATAATTGGCCCTAAACTCTCATATTTTTCTCACAACTCA